AACTGAAAGACACGAGTGTCAGTCAGTCATGTGTCATTGGAACTGCTGTGGCACTAGAATGGAACCCAGTAGCTACAACCACCTAGGCCCTTTCTTTATAAAAATTAAAATAAAACTAAAATAGGCTGGGGCTGTAAGTCATGCAAAAGCCCTATGTTCAATCCTCATGACTATCACTACCAAAAATAAAACCAAACCAAATCAAAGAAGCCAAAAATAATCTATAAAGGAAACAGTAACAGATTCTTATTTGAGGTATGTGTATGTAGGGCTAATGGGTACTTATGATTTGTGCATTACATTACCTCAATTAAAGAATTATGGAGACAAACCATAAAAGAACTGAAAAAATAGTGGTTGCCTCTAGGAAGCAGATAATGGGGGAAGCTTCACATTCTTTGTAATAAGCCTTGTTGAACTTCTATATTCTAAAATAAATGTGAATGTTAACTTTTATAAAAATACAAAAAATAAGAGAAGAAAAGACGGTGGACTTTGGAATTGGACCTGAATTAATGCTGATTTCTTTCTTTGCCTTTCTTGTTCTTTGCATAGTGCTAGGGACAGAACCCAGGTCTTTGCACATCTATGCAAATGCCCTATCATGGAGCTACAGCCTCAGTCCTAGGCCTGCATTCAAATATCAATCTATCAGTTACTATTTGGATAGCAGGGGCAAACTGCACTGCATCTCTGGCCCTTGTCCTCAAATTCAGGCTAAGAGCATTAGGAGAAAACAAGAGTTAGTGGATCTAAAGCATTCATCAAAAGTATTTGACTTCCTTGCACATAAGTAATGAGTACCTGATAAACGCTCATTTTCTCCCTACCTACCACTTTCCTTTGGATATATTTAGAACTACACAGACTGCACGTGAGGGCCCATCCCCCTGTTTATACTGCTCTGGCTCCAGGCCAGGCACTTCATGGCTCTCTGGCCTAATTGCTCATGCATTCCATCACTCCTTCACAGGTCACCTAACTCACTTCTTCTTTTGAAAAACAGATTGGGCTCCCTCAAGTACTAATTGAGTCCCCTCCTCCATTCCAACAATTATAGAGTCTGTGACTAGAGTTGTAGAAAAAATTAAGTTCATGAACCAAGGCACTATAGTACCCATATAACAACTGTCGCTTCCTCTGCAGGGTTCAGTTTCTGCACCAGTTCATGGGGACTGAATTCATAGATGCTCTCTCCCTCTGAAATAACTATGGAAAGCCTTCCCTAAAGTCCAATGGCGGTGAAGATGTTTGCTGGGGTGCAAGATATTATCAAAGATCAACAGATGGCATATGTCATTTACAAGGGTCAGGTAGGGAGAGATGTTTTTTCTCAAATGTCAATCAATAGTCTTGTGGCCCTGAGTTAAGGCCTCTCCCCTAAGACTGGCCTTTGCAGGGCCACATGCAGCTCTGACTGCACTGGAAGCATCATCTGCCAGGATTAGGTAAACAATGACTACTCTTTTTCCCTGGGTATAATAAGGTTTTGCACACAGAATATACCCAGCTTTTCTGGTTGACAGGCACTTACCTGCCCAAAATGATGAGCCAAAATAATGTCCACAACATTGGTTGTCAAGCCAGAGAGCTAAAAAGATAAAATTTCAGTGTTAAAGGTGTAGCATATGTAAAAAACTTACCAAGGGGTCTACTTAAAGTGGTTCCCCCTAAATAAACAAAACAAAATCCAAATTTCAGCATTATACATTCCCAAGAGATGGTTTCAAACAAACATGAGAAAAAGAAAAGGGAGGAGAACAAAGAGGTGGTGGTGGTGAAGGAGGAGGAGGTGGAGGAGGAAGAGGAGGAGGAGGAAGAGGTGGTGGTGGTGGTCTCTCTTCCAGGGTTATAGAGCTTGCTTTGAAATAGCGAGTTGGAGCTAGACAAGGCAGTATGCACCTATACAGTCGCAGCTACACAGGACCCTGAGGTGAAAGGATTATTTGAGCTCAGGAATCTGAGGCCATTCTGGGTCACAGAGCAAGATGATGTCTAAAAACACAAAAGGAAGAAGAGAAGGAAGAAGAAAAGAAGGCAGAGGGGGTTTTGTAATTGAGAGTTAGAACACATAGCTATTTGCTGCTTCATTTCTGCCTATAGTTCTGCACTTACAGTACACAGAGGATAAAAATTAACTTACAACCACTCCTAGCCACCCCCCAAAAGTTTCTGCTATCTTTATTTCAGGGAGTGGGAGGAAATGGCTATATTTGCAGTATGTTCTTACATTTGAACACTTTTCTTCTAATTCTTTCCACTTTAAAATGATGCATCTCATGGTCTAATAAATGCAACAATCTGTGAATCTGCAGACTGTTAGACTATTTTCGGGAACATTTCCAAATAAAATTACGTTGTTGATTCCCCTGAAGCTTCTTCCTTGCTGAATTCCCACTTACACTGGGATCAGAGGTGAAGCATGCAGTTGGGGAGAGGAGTGGAGAAGAGGTGCAGCACACGTGGGCACGGCGGAGCAGAATCCTACAGCCCCAGAAAGTGGAAGGAAAATGAAATCCTTACATCTTCATATGGCTTGCCAAGGACCCATAAGTTATAAATTAAACACAAAGGAGCCGGGGAGATGACTCAGTGGAATAAGCACTTCCCTAGCAAGCGCAAGGGGCTGAGTTCAATCCCCGGTTCCGCCAAACAAACAAACAAACAAACAAACCCTCACAGAATTAAAAACCTAGGGGGCCGGGGAGATAGCTCAGTAGTATTAAGTGCCTGGCAAGTGTAAGGGCCTGAGTTCAATCCCTGGTTCCGCAAAAACAAACAAAAACCCCCAAAAACCTAGGGCCAGCAAGATAGCTCAGCAGACTAAGCACCTGCTTAGACAAGCGCAGGGGCCAAGGCTCAGCCCCCTCCACATGCTGCACTGGCCCCGTCCTTGGGCACGCTGAGCCTATGAGTCCGGGCATGCTGGCACATGCCTGTAATCCCAGCGCTGGGGAGGCTGAAAACAGGAGGATCACTACAAGTCCAAGCTGTGTAGTGAGAACCCTGTACCAAATACATAAATTTTTTTTAAAAAATAAGTCAATAGTAAATAAATAAATAAATGAAAACCTAATTCAACCTAGCAAGACCTGGTTTCAAAATAAAAATAAAATAATTTTTAAAAAGGGCTGGAGGGCCAATGAGATAGCTCAGCAGACTAAGTGGGTGCTTAGGCAAGTTCAGGGACCAAAGTTTGATCTCAGGTACCCCATGCTGCGCCGGCACCAATCCTAGGCGCACTAAGCCTGTAACGAATCCAGGTGTGGTGGCACACGCCTGCAATCCCAGCATTGGGGAGGCTGAAAGCAGGAGGATCACTGTGAGTCTTAGCTGCACAGTGAGACCCTGTACAAAAATAAGAATAATAATAATAATTAAAAAGTAAAAAGGGCCGGAAATGTCACTTGTGAAGGCCCTGAGTTCAATCCCTACTACTGCAAAAAACAGAACAAAGCCATCATAAGTATTCGTAAATCTGAAGTTGTATATACATCTTATCAGGTTGTTACATGTTAAATGAGTGTCCAGGCAAGTATTAATACACTAACATACCAGACAGAACTTAGAACAAATTTTACACAAATCACAGTGAAAGAATTTCTAAAGCAGACCAGATGTGATGGCACACGCCTGTCATCCCTTGGAAGGCTGAGGCAGGAAGACTGCTGCATTTAAGTAGGGAATGAGTGTAGGATATTGAGCTTTATCCCCTGAGACAATCTTTTTTCTTTTTCTGGTTTTTTTGAGACAAGGTGTCATTCAGGGTGGCCTTGCTCTCACTTAGTAGCCCAAGCTGTCTCAAACTTGCAATGATCCTCCTGCCTCAGACTCCTGAGTGCTGGGATTACAAGCATGCGCCACTATGCCTGGCTACTCTAAGGCAATGTTAATAAGCTGCCCAAGCTGGCCTCAAACTTACAATCCTTCTGCCTCAGGCTTCAATCTAAGTAGTTAAGAAAATGGGCATGTGCCATTGAACACAGCTACAACATAAATTTTTTTTTAAAACTTTTTTTCAGACAGGTTCTTGCTACATAGTTCAGGCTGGGCTTGAATTCAGTATGTTGCCCCAGCTGGTCTCAAACTCATGGTGATCTTCCTGCCTCAGCCTTCCAAGTGATCACAGGTGTGCACTACCTTGTCCAACCAACAATTTTTTTTTTTTTAACGAAACCAGGGATTGAACTCAGGCCCTTACGCTTGCCAGGGAAGCGCTTTTTCCACTGAGCCATCTCCCTAGCCCCCAACAAAATTTTTGATAGTATGTTTTTCTTTTCCACAATTGTATCAAAATTTTGTTACCTTGTACTCTGACACTTAAACTTTCTTTTTGTTTTACAAACAATGATTTAAGGAATGTCTTGGTTCTATGACTTTCTAGCTATGTAACCTTAAGCAAATGACTTATCTCTTTATGGGACAAGTGCAAAGTTTAAATATATATAAAAAGTTTATGGGGCCAGGGAGATGCTTAGTAGAATAAGCACTTGCCTGGCAAGCGCCAAGGGCCTGAGTTCAATCCCCAGTTCTGAAATAAATAAATAAGTAAAAAGATAAAAAACTAAAGCAAAAAAGATGTAAAAATTAAAAAAAAATAAAAAGGTTATGGCTGGGCATGGTGCCACACGCCTATAATCTCAGCACTTGGGGGGCTAAAGCAGGAGGACTGCTTTGAGTTGGAGGCCAGCCTGGGCAACAATGTGATTTCAAGGGTATAGTGCCTGGTATATAAGTACTGTATAGGTGTTCTTTAAAAAATCAATAGTCTGGGGCTGGAGAGATGGTTCAGTGGTCTAAAGCACCTACTTAGAACAAGCTTAGCAAAGCACAGGGACCACGGTTCAATCCCCCAGCACCACATGCCAGCCTGCCCCGCCCCCTGGTGGGCTGAGCTGGCCACACACACACACACACACACACACATAAATAAATGTAAAAAAAAAAATCAATAGTCCTACATTTAAATCTTTTTTTTGTGTGTGTGTGTGTGTGTTACTAGGGATTGAACTCAGGCCCTTGTGCTTGCCAGGCAGATGCTTGTTCTATCACTATCTTTCAAACAGGTCGCTCAGATACTAAATCACTGTATCTTATGGGTTTGAGTAAATAAATATTCCTGATCCATGTGATGTGCTTGTGGTGATATTTTAGAGAACCTTTCAAAGAAATACAAGAAAACTCATAGTAATTTAAAGGTATTTAGAGTGCTTGCCTACTATTAGGAAGGCAGGTCAGTGGTAGAATGCGTACACAAGGTGGTGGGGGGAGGTAGGGGAGGTCTCTTGCCTAGCATGCTTAAGGCCCTGGATTCAACCTCTAGCAAGGCGAAAAAATAATCCAACAATCATTAGGGATGTTGGTGCACATCTGTAGTCCCAGCACTTGGGAGGCTGAGGCAGGAGTATCACCAGGAGTTCAAAGCCGGCCTGCACTACACAGTGACACCCTATCTCAAAAAATCCAAAAACAAATAAATGCATAAGTCAAACAGTAAACAAAAAAAGATTTAGAGGCATGCTTGTGATCCTAGAGAGTACTCAAGAGGCTGAGGCAGGATGTTCACAAGTCTCAGTGCAACTAGAAATACAGTTCAGGAGGAGGGTGTTTGCCCAGTATCCACAAACCCTGGCTGTTACATTTGGGTTTTGTTGTTTATTTGGTTTTTGAGACAGGGTCTTGCCATATAGCCTAGGTTGGCCTTGAACTCCTGGCAATCCTCCTGTCTCAGCCTCCCCAGCACTGGGATTACAAGAGTGTATCACCATACCTGGCCAAATCATTAGTCCAAAAAGAGAGGGGTGGTTGGGGAGATAGCTCAGTGGCATAAGCATCTACCTGACAAGTGTAAGGGCCAGAGTTCGATCCCTGGTGCAAAAAAAAAGGGGGTGGGTGGGAGTAGGCAGGCTTTTTTTTTTTGGTGGAACCAGGGATTGAATTCAGACCCCTGCGCTTGCCAGGGAAGCGCTTATTCTACTGAGCCATCTCCCTGGCCCTGGCAGACATTTTTTTTTTTTTAAAGCGCTTTCTTACATTATGAAAATATCAGTGAAAAAAAAAATCACTGGTTTAATCTAAATTTCTGACAGATTAAAATAACACATATTTTGTGTTAGCAAGAAAATATTTCAAGCTTTTTTCCAACCTAGAAATAGAGAATTATTTTTAGCACAAGTGAGTTCAACGCAAAGGGACATAATATAACGCATTCTGTCTTCTGCTTTGCATTTGTTCATATTTGTACAGTCATTAACACACTCTTAGTTTCCTATCTTTGCACGGATGTTAGAGTATGGATTTCTACATTTTTCAGATAGGAAATGAAAACCTGACGCCTTTGGGAACAGTAGTACAGATGAGTTTCTTAGCCATTTATCCATTAATTCTTTGATGTCTCATGTTCCACTTTCAGAACAGCACATAGCAATGAAATATAAAATATTTGTTTTCAAATTCTTGTTTCCTGAATTCTTCTAGGTAACATGCATTTCACACAAAAATCCAAAATATTGCAACCTTTGGCTTAAATGGGTTAAAAAAAGTAAAAATGAAAATTACAAACTAGAAGATATTTGACATAAACCTAGGAAAAGACTTACATGCAGATTATTTTAAAAAGGCAAGGGGGGGCCGGGGAGATGGCTAGTGGAATAAGAGCTTCCTTGGCAAGTGCAAGGGCCTGAGTTCAATCCCTGGTTCTGCCAAAAAAGGCAAAGGCCAGGGAGACAGCTCAGTGGCATAAACCCCTGCCTGGCAAGTACAAGGTCTTGAATTTGATTTCTGGTACCAAGAATAGGAAATAAGCAAAAGCCTTGAGCAAATACCTCATAAGAAGATATTTAAGAACAGATACTCAGTATCATTGCTGCTTAGGGAAATGCAAATTAAAACCCAGTATTATTTACTTTTATAAGCATAATTAAAATTAAAGAGATAGGATCATGCATAGGGGCCGGGGAGTTAGCTCAGTAGAATAAGTGCTTGCCTGGCAAGTGCAAGGGCCTGAGTTCAATCCCCGGTTCCGCAAAAATATAAAATAAAATAAAATTAAATTAAAGAGATGGTACAGAGCTAGGCCTGTAGCTCAGTGGGTAAGCACTTGCCTGGTATATGCAAGGCTCTATTTTTTTTTTGGTACTAGAAATCCAATTCAGAACCTTGCATTCGCCAGGCAGGTGTTGTGCCACTGAGCTACATCACTGGGCCCTAAGGTTCTGGGTCTGATCCTCAGTGCTGCCAAACAACCAAGAAGAAATATGGTACAAAAGTTACTTTAATCAACACAGTTATATTGGTGATATGTGCCACATAAAAACACTAATATTATAAGTAAAACTGCTCATCTTTTACAAAAATGTAAAGAACTGACAATACGAAATGTCAGTAAAGGCCAAGTGTTGTGCATGCCTGTAATCCCACCACTCAGTGGGCTGAGACAGGAGGACTAATGGGAGTTTAAGGCCAGCCTGGGCTACAAACTGAGTTCAAGGCCAGCCTGAAATACATAGTGAAACTCTGTCTCAAAAAAAGTTAAAAAGTAAATGCTGGTGAGAATGTAAGCTGAAACTTGCATATGCTGCTGGTGTGTAAACCGGCCAAATGTTTTGGAAAACTGGCAATATCTACACTAAATATATATATAACTGCCCTATGACATAGGGAATTACAGCAATTTCAATTCTAAGTATGTCCACTGAAAGACAAAAGAATGTATATTACAGCTATATCACAACCAAATAACAAACTCACTTGGTATATTTATCTCTATCTATATCTATATGTGGTAGTGGGGACTGAACCAAGGGAACACTTAGATACATCCCCAATCCATTTTATTTTGAAACATAGTCTTGCCAAGTTGCCCAGGCTGGGCTGGAAGTTAATTCTCCTTCCTCAGCCTACTGAGAAGAGAGGATTACAGGTTGTCCCAACATGCCCAACCACAAAGTGTATTTTGTAGATAGACTATTAAAAAGCAATTAAAAAGAACCACTGGACGGGCATGATGGCACGTGCCTGTAATCCCAGGACTTGGGGGCTAAGGTAGGAGGATGGCCAGGTTGGCCTGGACTACACAGTGAGTTCAAGGCCAGCCTGAACTACATGATGAGACCCTGTCTCAAAAAAACCTAAAAAACAACAACAAAAACCCCCAACAAACTGTTACACCACACAACATGAATGAGTATCAGTCACAATAACAAATGCAAGAGGCCACACTCAAATATTCTGACTCTACATGAAGTTGAAGAACAGATAAGACTAATCTATGGTGATAGAAGACAAGAGTTATATCCAGGAAGAAGGATTACTAAGAAGAGGCACAAGAAAACCCTTTGGAGTGTTGGAAACAAATCAACAGACTGATAGGGTAGTGATTACGTAAGTTAACATTCACCAAGCTCTACATTTAATTTTTTTTTTTGCTATTAACCATGTATATACCTCAATAAAAAGTACAGAGACTGGCCAATGGACACTTCACACGGTACTTACTTTGGAAGCTGCCCAGTCAATCCAACCTTTAGCGCATGGGTCAATGTTAATGAGTACAAGGCCTTCCACGAGCTCTGGATGATTGAGCTGAAGGAGACAGACAGATAAGAGTATGAAATTTACACTTGGGCTGGTGAGATAGCTCCGTGGACTAAGCACCAGCTTAGGCAAGCATAGGAACCAGGGTTCAATCCCTGGCACCACATGGAGCACTGAGCCAGCCATGGAGACCCGGTGTGGTGGCACATGGCTGTAATCCCAGCACTGGGAAAGTTGAAAACAGGAGGATCACTATGAGTCCGAGCTGCATAGTGAGACCCTGTACCAAATGCATACCAAAAAAAAAAAAAAAAAAAAAAAGTTAAGTTACATTCCACAGTTATAACACACATGGCTGGCTGATTTATACAAACCTCCATGTCTCATATCGGAAAGACTAGGAGAGGTGCTAAGAAGAATATATAGAAAATAGCTCTTGAAATCTGACTTAGCATCTGGAAACCAGTTTTTCAGATTGCTATAAAATGATCTTGCCTTGCACACATTTATAAGGAAGACAAGTTTCTTTTGTAGCAGAGGAGGGCATACTGCAGTTGATCATTTTCATTTAGCACAGTGGTGGCTCAAGCTTAAGATGGGCTGCTTCACATTCATTTGTCTTTGTTCCTAACAAGGGCTTTTACAGTTTTTTCCCCCCTAAAACCATCTAAATAGGTAATGCCATCCTAAAAGACTGTAAGACTTTCCTGTCACCAAGGAGGCTTTTCAAAAAGTGGGAAATTTCCACATAAACTCAAAACTTTACAGCTTCTTTCTTGTCTCTGACTAGGCTTAGTGTAGAGTTCGACAGAGAAATTATAAAAAGCAGTCGGGATCAAATCTCACTTTATTTTATCACACATCTATTTTAAAACTTTTTTTTTTTTTTTTGAGACAGTCTCACTATCAGTTTAGGATGTCCTTGAGCTCACTTTGTAGCCCAGGCTGGTCTTGAACTCCCAATGATCCTCCTGCTTCAGCCTCTGAATTCTGGGATTACAGGCATGAGCCTACTCATCTGGCTCATTAAAAATTTTATAAACTAGTTAATTTTTTCATGAGACAGTATCTCACTGTGTAACCAAGCTGGCCTTGAACTCACAGCAATGCTCCTGAGTCAGCCTCCTGAGTGCTGGGATTACAGGTATGCACTACCACACCTGGCTTATTTTGCTTTATTTTATGCTACTGAGGATTGGACATGGGGTGCACTGAGCTACATTCCCAGCACTTTCCATTTTTTATTTTGAGAAAGGGTCCTGTTTAAGTTGTCCAGACTCACCGTGATTTAACATTCTCCTGCCTCAAATTCCCTAGTAGTTGAAATTACAGGCATGTGCCACCATGCCCAACTCTTATTATATTTAGGTACATTTCCTGTCTTTCCTATCCCTGATGAACTTTATATGAATCTATCTATATTTGAACTTTTTTCTTACATTACAGTGTATGCAAATTACGTTTAATTACAAGTTCTTCTTAAACTTAGTTTTAATGGCTGCACAAAATCCCATTATAAGCTACATCTAGAACTTTTTGCAGACAGTACTGTCCTCACTTGTGGTGTTTCAGAGGCTGTACAAAGACAAGGCTTTATATAAAACTGCACCTGAAGCAACACAATCAACACAAAAACTTAATGTAAGCCCTAAAAGAGGGCCTAGTCATTTAACACAGCAATAACAGCAGTGACCCAAGCAGCACTCCAAGGGTGAAATTAATCCTCCACGCACTTACTGCAAATCTGCTGAGGATGTAAGCACCAGCTCCAACTCCAATCCCAATGATGCTCTTCAGACTGTGAATAGGAAAAGTCCAACAATTGACAGGGTCCAGCTCACTTGAGGTAGTGTTGCACAACAAAAAGAATACACCTGGTTTCATATTCTGGCTGATATTTACTAGACTCAAGGATTTGAAAAAGTTTATTTTTTAGAGGGGGGCTCACTATGTTGTCAAGATGGTCTTAAACTTCTGGGCTCAAGTGATCTCCCACCTTAGCCTTCTAAGAAGCTAAAAGTTTGGCAAGCTTTTTTTTTCTTTTTCTTTTTTTAACTTTCTAAGCCTTAGTCCCACATATATAAATGAGTATATAAGCAACTATATTCAAGTTCTCTTTAATGATTACATGAAGTATGACTGAAGTCTGGGAGTCACTTCAGTATCTGTTTTTCACTTCGGTATCCAACCCACCAGAAAATGCTGTGAAGTCTATCACTAGAATATTTTTATTTATTAACATCACTTAAATCCATCCCTGACAGCAGCCATTGCGTCTTGGGAGGTCTACTCTAACAGGTCCACTAGTTTTTTTGCATTTTTCCTCTTACTACTCTCCAAACTATTACATAAAGAATAATTCAGGACCTTGTGCTTGCCAGGCAAGTGCTTATGCCTCTGAGTTATCTCCCCAGCCCCTAAGGTTCTTATCTTAAAAGTAAATTATAGAGCCAGAGAGATAGCTCAGCAACATATGCATCTGCCTGGCAAGTGTATGGTCCCAAGTTTGATCCCTGGTAGCACAAGTAAACTGTGTATCACTCCTCTGATTGAAATCCTCCAGTATCTTCTCTTTATACATAGTATGACTACAAGTTCTTATCTGATTTATTAGACTGATGCAATCTGGCCCTTGTCTGTTTCTCAAATTTCACTCATCCCTCTCTTCCACTTGTTTTTATTTCAGCCTGGAATCTTTATTTGTCCTGACTCTGTCTAGGTTGTTCCCTGTATCTTCCAAGTCTCCACCTACATGATACCATCCTAAACAGACACTTCTTAGCTGGCCTTGTTATTAAAGACCCAGCCATTTTCCCTATCACAAAAGCGTCACTGATTCCTTGCTGTATGGGAACTGAATCCGGGATCATGTTAAGCAGTTCCACCAGAGCAATACTTCCAGCCCTACTTCTTTTATGGTGCCTTATTGTGATTATCAGTTGCTTATTTGTTCATCATTCCTTCCCCACCCTTCTACCAGGTTCCGTGAGGTTAATAAACATTCTATTTTGCTCATTTTTCCACTGGAACAGAAATACAGTAATTTTTTTTTTTTTTTTTCAAAAAGTAATGGGCTGGTGGGGGAGTTCAATGGAGTGGAATGCTTGCCCAGGGTCCTGAGTTTGATCATTAGCGCCATGAAGGAAAGCAAAAGGAAGGACCACAGAATGAATCTACCTTAGGTGGGTGAGAACAGGAGGCAGCATTTCAGCCAGCTCATCCATTGTAGGGTACTGGTACCTGAAATTCAGAAAGACACCTCCTCAATTAGAAAGTACCCACAATTCCCAATCTTCGAGACATAGTTCCTCTTACCAAAGGCTCAAAAGAGGCGTTGGGTAGCCTGGAAATGACCACGGCATATCTCTATGACTGCCATGGTAAGTGGGGAGGAAGCGTATGGACGGCCCCCAGTCGAGGCCACTCATGCTTTCCTGCACGCCTGGTCTCCTACAGGACCTTGCCTGTGGCCTTACCCAGTTGGGAAAGAAGGTGCTCCTTCTTGCTGGCCTGGGGCATCCACATGACACACAGCAAAGTGCTGAGTGATCTCCTGCATATCCTCAAAGTTGAAGAATGTGTTGAAACAGGATTTATCTGTAAGACAAAAACACCTGTGAGCTCCAGGCTCTCCAGTTTTCATCTCCTCAGCCAGTGCCATGCCGTTTTTCTTTTCACTTTCTTTTAATCACCACTCCACTAAAGTGAGGTATCTGAAGGAACAGTCTCATCCAAGTTGCCCTACAGGCTGAATAAGAGATCTCTGAATGGCCAGGAAACAACTAATTCTTAATTCCACGCAGTGTCTCCAAAGTGGAAACTACTTCATATATGTTTATTGGTTTTATGGTGTTGTACAAAATAATCTGCTATCCACACTGCTATCATTTCTCGTGTACTTTCTATCTGTACCTAACAAAGAGACACTGACTACACTCCATGCACATGGCTACAGTGAATATTCTGAGAAGCTTACACTTGTCACCTGGGAGTTTGTCTCTTGTTGAAACTGTCAAAGTGTTAGAAGGGGCTGCTGCTTCAGTTTTTACCCTTAGAGCTTAATCACTTTCCATGGTAAGCTGGCTACAAAATTCCTAACTCTGTAAAGCCAGAGTAGGGTGAAAAAATATTCAAACTCTATGGTTAAAGCTCAATACTTTTCTACTGGTCATGGATCTCTTCCGCAAAGTGCTTGGGATCAGAAGTATTTTTGAGCTTTGGATCATACGTATTATGCAATAAGGTATCTTAGGGGTATTTCACTTGTGTTCCATATACGCCCAGTGCACACAGCCTGAAGATAATTGTATTCAATATTTTTCATTCCTTTAGTGTTGACTGTGACCTGTCACACGAGGTTAGTTATGGAATTTTCCACTTGGGGGCACTATATTTTTCAAACTATTTCAGATTTTAGATCATTTTGGATTTTGAAATTTTAGATTAGGGATGCTATTCCTGTACTATCCACTTAAAGTTACTGACGAGAGGGGCAACAACCTGCTCGGGCCCCCCTCTTGTCCCTCTCTTGGACAGGAGCTTTCTTTCCCTCAATAAATATATTCTGCTCATAAAAAAAAAAAAAAAGTTACTGATGAGAGGGTTCAGAAAGAATATTTTCTCTAATTCACTGAAGTGCTCACAACAAAGTTAAGCTCAACTCTGGATTTGCTAACTTGAAACATTAAAAAAAAAAAAAGCCAAAGTTCACAATTTAAAAAAAAATGACTTCAGCTCTACTTTCTTAATCAGTTCATTATACAATTTGCTGTCCTTTAGTATTTATGACACAAAAGATGTAATTCCACTATTGTCCAACACACTCCCCTCTACATTTGCCAAGAACTTTAACCCTGAGGTTAGTAAATGTAGCAATAAGGAAGAAAGATAAAGATAGAGAGGGGAAAATCTCTGCTCTAGTAAATGCTACCTATATATTTTGACATACAAGTAAGCATTATGATAAACTGAGAAGGTGGAAAATCAAATACATACGATTGAGTCCAATGTCATGATACGTTAAGATAACTGGTCTGTTTCCCTTCGGTAAGCCTCTTATAGTGACATGGACCATACCATGAGTTGTTTCTATATCATGTTCCTGCAAGAGAGTATAAGGTCTCAGCAAAGGCAGAATGAACGTTCCAGGTTGCTAAAGTTCATAGTATCTGTTTCATTGCCATTTTTCACTCACAGGGGCAGGCAGGACATATTAATGAACTATAAGCATATTATACATAATATTCACAGTTTCTATTTTTTCCTGATAGATAATAAACATATAAATAAACAGATCAAGAGGAAAATACACCCTGCCAAGCTGAAAGCTCACTTAGGAGTCCAGGAAGGCAGGGATCTGTTAAGAGTACATTTGAGGCTAGGAAGATAGCTCAGTAGTCTAAGTGCCTGCCTGGCAAGTGCGAAGACCCGGGTTTAATCCCCAGTACTACACACTGTGCCAGCCCACACTGTGCTGGTCACTGAAACCAGGCATGGTGGTGCATGCATGTAATCCCAGTATTGGGGAGGCTGAGGCAGGAGGATCATCAGTCTGAGCCGTGTAGCAAGACAGACAGACAGACAGACAGACAGACAGAGAATTACGAATACTTTGGGGGGGGGGAAGAATACATTTGCAGTTGGCTATGAGATCAGCAAGTTGGATAAGAGCCAAATAATACTTGGAAGAAGAAAAGGTAATGAAACAAGATAAAAGAAACCATTGGTAAAAGAGGTTTCAAAGCTTCTGAGCACATGTTCAGCTACAGATAATTTGAGCAGACACCTGTGGATGTGTACTTAAGACTCCTTCCTCCTTTCCTGGGCTCTGTCATTCTGTATTGCCCACATATTACAGAAGCTCCTGCCTGCCATATTTGTAGAACACAGGAAAGCACCTGGCCATGTAGGACAGCAGCCTCCCCTAGGAATCTGTAATTGGGTTTAAGAGATTCCGTCCTTAGTTTGGTTCTTCCATTGAAGAGAGAAGTACTCTAACTTCTGGTTCTAGCTGTATATGTACTTTAGGTTCTGAGACAGTCCTGGGTTGACTGTGGTTCAAGCTAATTTGAGTGGATTTATTCCCTATACTTCAAAGAATTTCAGTTAAGGTTTTTTGCTTTTTTTTTTTTTTTAAAGATAGGGTCTTGCTATACAGTTCAAACTGGCCTTGAACTCACTATGTAGTCCTGGCGGACCTGAAACTTGAGGCAGTCTTCCTGCCTCAGCCTCGAGTGCCGAGATCATAGGTGTGTGCCACCACGCCTGGTTTGGCAATGAAGTAAAGTTTGAGATGTAGTCAAAGCAGAGCTGAGGAACTGAACAAGGACAGAAAAAGCTGTGATCAGTGCTGCCAGGACTGGCACAGCACTGAGGGATGAGATAGAAAAGAGATTGCAGAAAAGTTAGCTGAGATCTGGTCTACTTCTCTCCAACTTTTATATTTCTCAAAAATTAAAAATTATTTATCCTCATGAATTACTGCTCATAAGGATAATACATTAGATAAGACTAGATTAATTCTGTCAATAAGAATCTCAATAAAGGCAAAATGCTTCTAATTTAATTTTCTATCTAATAACGAATCTCATCAAAGCTTTGGCTATTCCTTTGATATGGGACACAGAAGACAATCTCAGGCTAATTAGACATCAGTATATTTCAAATCATAGGCACAGACTGTTACCGACAGATATCCCTATCAAATCAAGCCATGTGTGATCTCATATTTCTGTTATTCTCAGTTCAAAGGCTTGAACAAAGAAAGGGCAGAATCTGTGAACAGCTATGACATAAAACATAGGGCTAAGAGGAATATAAATTGTTATTAGTGCATTGAATGTCCTGTAATTAATACCAGACTTACTGAGGGAATCCCTTCCCACCATGTTCATTCAATAAATTTCCATATACTAAATCCCTACTATATGCTAGACCCTGGACTAAGCTTTGAGTGTAAAACAGCAAACGAGAGAGAAATGATTCCTGTTTTTACAGATTTGTGCTCTACACAGGGAGGCAAAGAATAAACAAACAACCCATAATACTTGCTTGTGGTATTTTGAAAAAATAGAGTGCTCTAATAAAAAACTAAGAATGGTATAAAGATCAGTAAACAGGCAGGAAAATACAAATTAAATTCAATGAGATGCTATTTTACAAGAATAAAAAAGTAAGAATTCACACATTCCCTTGGTAGGTATATAAACTGCAACAACTATTTCAGCAAACAATCTGGTAATGTCTAGTTAAATTATTAAGTGCTTATCTGGCTGGGGGTATAACTCAGTGGTACAGTATTTGCATAGTATGTATGAAGGGTCCTGGGCTTAACTCCCAGTACTGCTGGAAAAAAAGAGCCAGGGGTAGTGGTGTGCACTTGTAATCTCAGCACTTGGGAGACTGAGGCAGGAGGATCTAGTTTGGGGTAGCCTGGGCTCCACAGTGAGTTCAAGACCAGCTTAGACTACATAGCAAGACCCTCTCTCTAAAAAATGAGAAAGGGGCTGGTGAGATGGCTCAGTGGTCTAAAGCACCTACTTAGAACAAGCTAAGCAAAGCACAGGGACCGCGGTTCAATCCCCCAACACCACATGCCAGCCGGCCCCGCCCCCTGGTGGGCTGAGCTGGCCACACACACATAAACAAATAAAAAAAATAAAAAAATTGAAAAATAAAAAATGAGAAAACAAATCCTATCCTACAGAAATTTAACCTTTAGTTATAATCTAAAGAAGTTTTCAACTATGGCTGTGTACACACACAAAGGCATGGATATAGATGTATACTACAACCTTGCTTAGTTGTAAGCAAGTTAGAAAATAGCCCCCCAAACACAAAAATATTCATCAATAGGGAAACTGACATAAATTGATTTATTAAAAAATTATGATTTATTCATATAATACAGATTCAAATGAGACTAGGAGTGTAAGTATTAACACAGAAAGTCTGAACATACAATAGGAGCAATATGCAGAAAGTTGTGTGGTTTTTTTTTTTTTTTTGGTACTGGGAATCGAATTCAGGACCTTGAGCTTGCCAGGTGGGTGCTGTGCTATTGAGCTATATCCCAGCTATGTATATGATTATCACATATTTTTAAAAGCAACACTACAGATTGAATATACACATATACATAAAGTATGACATGTTGGGAAAAGGAATAGACGCTAACTTTAGACTCGGTTTCCTTCTGGGAGGAGAGATTCTGAAAGAAAACTCAAGATGGCTTCCCTGTTTCTCAGGTCTGTTTCTTGACAATGAACAGGGAGAAGGGGAGAAGTAGTCCATGCCACAGAAAGGGATGATTCTGGAGAATGCAAGCTCCATCTTGTTACTCTGACAACCAGCGGCCAGAGCTCTCCTTTGTCACACCGAAACCTTTGCGGCAGTCCTGCTTAAAGGTTCTAGCTTGGACTTAGCTGTGCCCCTGAGAGCTGAAGGACACAGGAGTTTATGCCATGCCCTTAACCACAGGACCTCCCCAGGGCCAGGCAGTTAGTGACTCTGTGCATGCACGCATGTGTTGGTGTGGGGGAACAGTGAGCTTCTGAGGCACGAGGAGGTACTCACCCTAAGGATTGATGTACACATCCTGAATAGATGTGTATGAATAGCTTGAACCAAACTCCCCCTGGAAATGAGGTAAGGAAGCTCAGGCTGGCTCAAAGCTCACGCCCTTACAGGGAGCAAGCGCGCTGCTGTCATCTTCCTGCTTTGGGCAGCTACCATCTGTTCTACTGGCTCCTCCTCCGTGTTCAGCATTCCTAGCCCAACATTCCAGAATGTGACCCCACAATGAGAATGTGTCCCAGAGGGCACAGCCCCATGTGGCACCTCACTAGCTTGGGGTACCACCTCCAAGGACATGATTCCTTTATTCTCCATGCTTATAAAATGATCCTGAAATCATACAGGTCCTTCACATACTGCTCTATCCTGAACTGCCTCGTCTTCTCAATGAAAGATGTAGAGTCTTAATTAGTTTTTAAAGTTTTTTCAGAGTTTAGTGGTGCATGCCTGTAATCCCAGGACTTGGGAGGTAGAAAGTTGATCACCAAGATGTTGGGGCCAGTCAGGGCTCCACAACTAGACCCTGTCCTAAGAGAAAACCAAAAGTAAAAAGGGCTTGGGCCAGTGTAAGACCCAGTGGCCCAGCCCCAGTACTGCAGGATAGAAAGTTTAGAATTATTTGTTAAGAAACAGCTTTTACTATTTTCCTGCGTGCTCTCCCCTTCAGCTGTGCTGTGAGAAGCGCAACACATTCTGAGTTGTCACACAAGTTTCTCTACATTCTATTAAGTTATCACTTTGTGGCTATTACTACCCTTCACCGGCCAATCTGAAATAATTCAGGTAAATTTGTAAGATAACAGATTAGGAAATATAAAAAATTTTACTAATATGAAATTTTACTGCCAAGGAATAACTCAGAGGCATGAGCACCTACCTGCCCAACAAGCACAAGGTCCCGAGTGATCCCTGGTACAAAAAAAAACCCAATAAAAATAAAAATACAATAAAATCACTGTTTTAATAATGGGAAGACTATAGCATGAATCTACGGTACAGTTCTGAATATATCTGTATCTATATCTATATATCTTTTAAAAATATTTATTTATTTGGTCAAGCTCTCGGACAACTCGGATTGTGTAGTGATCCTCCCATCTCAGCCTCCCCAGTGCTGGGATTACAGGCATGCGCCACCACTCTTGGTGAGCTAGCTCAGGCTCGGCAAGGGGCCTGCACAGCATGTGGTATTGGGGATCGAACCTGGGTCCTTGCACTTGCCAGGCAGGTGCTTAGACTGCTAACCTATCTCCCATATACATATATATATATATATATATATATATATATATATATATATATATATATAATTTAAAAAATTTATTTATTTATTTTTTCTTTTAAATACAAGATCTCACTGTGTAATTCGGGCGGGCCTTGAGTTTATTATGTAGCCCAGGCCCAGGCTGGCCTCAAACCTTAAGTGATTCTCCTGACTCAGTCTCTTGAGTGCTGGGATTATATGTATGTGCTACCATACCCAGCACTACTTTTCTTTTCTTTTTTTTTTTTTTTAAATTTATTTAT